ATTTGGACTCACGCATTTTCCCCTATGATCCAGGTTTTTGACAGACTTGGTTGATGACTAAAAACCTTGTAAATATCCTAGCGCTTACAACGTGCTAGGTAGATAAGCAATTCATTTTAGTTTGCTTGTTCTCAGGGCACACACCCTGACTAGCCTGGACCCGGACTCATGTCCAGACCCACTACACTTCCTGCACATATGTACTTCCCATGCTGCATGCTCCACACGTGCATGATCCAGCCCTGGATCCTGCCCTCATGTGACTTCCGGGTATCCCCAGAAGTTTTCCTGATATGGTGGCCACTGTGGGAAGATGAGAAGTTAGCTTCCTTCTCATCTCCTTACTGGTATAGAGCACACAATTGTCTGGAAGTGGAGAAGGGACTCAAGAAGGAGGGACCTTGGCCTCAGCAACTCAAGTGGAGCACTGTGCCACTGCTTTGTTGTCTAAGGTGGTCCTTAATTTCAGGTTAGCAGGGGGAGTCTCTTGGGGGGACAATCCAGTCAATTCTGGTTCTCTAGTTGTTGACTCTAGTTGTCGATTTCAGACTGGGGTCCAGGAAACTATGTACAGAGTGTATATATAATAATACAGGAGTGGAATCAGAGGACAAAGGGAACTGGAAGGAGACAAAGGGGGACTGGATGAGGGAACAACCACAAGGGTCAAGGGTTGGAACTCTATGGTGCTTCCCAAAAGGGCAAGGCCAAGAGGGGAAGGAGTGGAGTGGGTTGTGGGGAATAACAGCTGACTAATGTGGAAAGGAAGCAGCCATCTAAATAAGGAAGAGGCAACAAGAGAATTAAATGACACCATACAGTAGAGACTGCAGGGTCCAGAGTAAGTTCCAGAGGTCCGGAGTCAGAAGTCTAAGTCTGGAATATTGGCAAGACGTTGTAAGGGGGCAAGGGATCTACCACCCTAACGAGAAAGAGAGGGGGCCACAGAGTTGGGAATGCTCAGGGGAGGTTCATATGATGAGGAAGGGGGAGGAGAAATGGTCCGGTGCTATGTGATAAAAATGATAAATCTCGTAAATCTCACTGATAATCAAACTGATGGGAACTCTGTCCCTGCACTATGTCTTGAGCCTCTTTGGCTTCGTATTCGCCGCTCTGGGCGCTGGTAAACTTTGCTAGAACTTCATGTTCGTTGGGGAGCACCTCTCTCTGTTGGGGGAGTCCTCTTTGTAAATACAGGAAAGAGGGTAACTATAAATATGAAAGAAATACGCGTGGAAATCCGAATGATCCGACGGGTCTATGACGGCAACAGATCCACAAGGAACACTTAAGAAAAAAAAGCAATATCAAAGCAATATTGATGTTGTTAAGGAAATAAAGAACCATGGCGATCGGAACAACCGCTGAACCAAATGCGTTACTCGTAACATCGTTCAACTCGTGTTAACAAGGGCTTTCCAACGATACCAAATTCGTCCGGATCGGTGGAGAATTGATGGAGATATGGAGGAAGCGGCGGAATATGCGGGTGACAGTTACCCAATTTGGAAACTGATGGTTGTCCGTGGTCGGGAATGGCTTGAAAAAATCGGAAGAAATATGGAAAACGTGGAAGAGGTATCTAAAACAGTGGTAAATGTGTTTCGGGAGTGGGGTACTTGACATGGGTGGTAGAATCGCGATAATCGGCTTGTTTGCGTGGTACCGGCTGTGCCCGCCTACAACGTAATAAATGAAATGCAATAAGGAACACAAGGAGATAAGATGGAGGAGGAGGTCAAAGTCCAGAGGCAGAGATGTGACCGGAGTTCTGGAGGTGGAGGTGCAATGGGGTTCCAGTACAGGAGTCCGGAGCTGGAGGTGTGGAGCATCACAAGCTCTGGTCTGGAAGGTACAAGGTTGGGATCGGACCCGGAGTAAACCGGAGTTGGATCAGAGGTAGTGTTGGATGTTGTGTTGGAGCCAGAGGTAGAGTGGGCAGCTCTCAACAACTGACAGGGGGAGGTGGTGGTGGAGGATGTGGAGTTCTGGAGGAGGTGATGGAGGTCCAGAATCAGGAGCGGAGGTCTGGAGTTGTATGGATATTGTCATTATCCATACATACCCGATCCCGATCCGACTCCCGGACCCCCATCTTCACCACCTCCAGAGTCCTACCCTACCGCCATCTGTTCCGATGTTCACCTTTGGACCTGACACCACTCCTCCTCTTACCCCTCATGCCACCTCCACCTTTCTGTCCTTCTCCTACCCTATCTCCATCCACTCCGATACTCACCTCAGACCGAACATCACTCCTCTTGCCACCCTCCTCCTCTACTCCTCCCCTTACTCCTCCTCTTACTCCTCACGACACCTCCACCCTTCCATCACTCTCCTACCCTTCTCCCATCTGCTCCGATACTCGCCTTCGGACCTGACACCTTTCCTTTCCTCCACTTCTCTCTCCTTCCTCTGACCCTCTCCCACCAACCCTCTGCCAAGTTACAACCTTCCGCCGCTGTCCCTTTCCCTGTACTCAGACACTGCTCATTCCTTCACTCCAAGATTCCATGTTACAGGAATGGGTTCCGGGGAACCCAACCTGAGCCATTCTGCTCACAGACAGAGGTGGCTGCGTAGCCGTTGAAGGGAGAGCAGGAGGAGATCTGAGGCTGGGTGTACTAATGGTAACTTGGCACTCCGAGGAGCATACTGGCAGCAGGTGTGGTGACATGCTAGCGGTAACTTGGCACTCCAAGGAGCGTACCAGCAGCAGGTATAATGAGGGCTCCTTGAGGGAGCCATCTAACAGTTGGCTAGCGGTGACTTGGCACTCATGTGAGCATACTGGTAGTGTGGGTAGTTGGCACTCCTTGAGGGAGTAGCCCAGTGGTTGTCTATCGGTTACTTGGCACTCAAGGGAGTGTACCAGTAGTGGGATTTGTTGGGACAGGTAGGTTGGTTGACCAGTGCATGGTAGTGAGTGACCGTGGGAATTTGGGCCCGCGGGTACGTGGCCAGGCATCCTGGGACTGCCTGAGTCACTTCTCCCTCCCAAGAAGGGAGGAAGGGTCATAGGACCCAGTAGGGTACTACAGGAAGGATAGGAATGGGAGCTCAACCACCCACGGGGGGGTGGGAGCAGGAAGAGTGAGGTCCAGTGTCTGAGAACTCACTGGGCTGTTGAGGTTTTCTCACAGATTGTAAGAATATCAATGTAGACATCGATATGGACCAAGTCAGATGTTACAGAGAAGGCTTACAATGGTGGCACAATGGTGTGGCAGTTACAATCACGGTACAAGGTTTTGTGGGTTATGTATTAGATAAGGAAAGACATTTTTCAGCATCTGCCTTACACATCATATGACTTCTAACTATCTAATATAAAAGTCACAATGGTCAAGGGAAGTCCCTTGAAACTCAACAAATTCCCCAGCCAGCACCAAAACCCAGTGGGAAAGCTTGGCATGGGGTTTGACAATGAAATAAAGGTGCAGGGACCAAAGGTTTGATTGTTCATAGTCACGGACCATAAGATTCTAGGTCCATTCCTATAACATTCCATCATAGTGCCGACCTCGGACTTTGACTCCACCTTGGCTTAAGTCCATTGCATTGGTGACCTCATACTATGTAAACACCATTGCCAATATTCCTCAGACTTTCAACCCTGCCTCCGTAACCTCCATTACCTCCATAACCTCTGGGCTCCATGGATCATACTCAGCGCTTTCGCTGCTTGTAATGTATCTTTCGCATTTTTCCCTCATCCTTATTTGGATTGCTGCTTCTCTCCATTCTAGCCAGTTAGTCATCATCCCCACTTCACCTCACCCTCCTGCCCCTCTGGGCTTCGCCCTCCCAATCTCCTTTTGGATGTACCACAGGTTCTGACCTATGACCTTCAGTACCGCTCCACTTCTGTCATCCCTTTGTTCCTGTTTGGATGCCTTCATTCCGATTCGGACCCCCTTTGTTTCCCTTGTGCTTTTGTCTCCCTATTATATACAGGTGCTTGTACATACTCGTTTTGGACCTTCATGTTAGGACTGGGCAAGGGTGGACGATTCCAGAGGGGAACCAGAGACTTAGCAAGGAGGGACCTTGGCCTCAGCGACTCAAGCGGAGCACTGTGCCATTGATGTTTGTCCATTTGGTTCTTAATTTCATAGGCAGCAAGCAGGAAGTCTCTATGGGGCATTTCAGGTCGATTTTAGACTAAGGGCCTAAAACAAGTATGTACAAGCGCTGGGATATAATGGAGAGGGTGAAAGCACAAGGGAAACAAAGGGGGTCCAGATCGGAACAAAGGCGTTGTAACGGGTCTATCAATCTAGACTCGTGACTCAGGTCTAGGGGGGGTAGGTATCTCTCTATCTCTCAGGTAGATGTGGGTCCTGCAAGTATGGTGCTGATACTCTGTCTAACCTCTAACTAACTGTCTGTACAGTTGTCATGGAAGAGTCCAATACAAATATAAAAGGAAAGTCACATGCATGAATGAATGAAAATAGTAAGGAAAATAAAGAAAAGGTCATATCTCCTCAACCACTCCACCAAATCCGACGATCTTGGACTCGTCAGAACCACCTCTACAGTATCTACAACTCCTACTATTACCACGACTCACCAATCCTAGTCCCTGATGCAGTAGGGGGTGAAATGCGTGATAAGGGTTGGTTTGACCTGCACGGACTTGTCCCCACAACAGCGTCTGGATGGGAACAAAGGGATGACAGAAGCGGAGTGGTACCAAAGGTCATAGGGAAGAACCTGTGGTACATCCAAAAGGAGGTAGGGAGGGCGAAGCCCAGAGGGGCAGGAGGGTGAGGTGAAGTGGGGATGATGACTAACTGGCTAGAATGGGAAGAAGCAGCAGTCCAAATGAGGATGAGGGGAAAACGCGAAAGATACATTACAAGTGGCAAAAGTGCCGAAGATGATCTGTGGAGCTTGGGACGGAGCTTACAGAGGTTACAGAGGTGGGGTTGAAAGTCCAAGGAATGTTGGCAATGGTGTTTACGTAGTATGAAGTCACCAATGCAATGGACTTAAGCTGAGGTGGAGTCAAAGTCCGAGGTTGGAACTATGATGGAATCTCGGAGCAAAGGTATGAGTGTAGTCCGAGTACAGGGTACGGGACAGCAGCGGAAGGTTGTAACTTGGCGGAGGGTTGGCAGAAGAGGGTCAGAGGGAAGACCGAGGAGAGAGGAAAGGGGAGAGGAGTGGAGGAGAGCAAAGGTGTCAGGTCCGAAGGTGAGTATTGGAGTGGACGGGAGAAGGGTAGGAGAGTGATGGAAGGGTGGAGGTGTCGTGAGGAGTAAGAGGAGGAGTGAGAGGAGTAGGAGGAGGAGGAGGAGGGTGGCAAGAGGAGTGGTGTTCGGTCCAAGGTGAGTATCGGAACGGATGGTGGTAGGGTAGGACTCTGGAGGTGGTGAAGATGGGGGTCCAGGAGTCAGTTTGGGATCAGGTATGTACGGGTTTGACAATTGTAGTTTGTGCCAAACATTGTAATTCCATGCATGAAGAATTCTACAACCGGGTGCTTAAGGAAACCAGTTGTGGTTCAAATTGATGTCGTAATTCCATGTGCAAAGAATTCTATGACAAGGGCAGATCAACTTGCTGGCCAATCCACTAGATCACAATGGACTGATGGACCTATACTTCATTCACAATATTATAAAGCTATTGTACAATGTGATGAAGTAGGATATCATGGTCTTTCATGCCACCTGTGCTGGCAACAAGTTTATCACTGTCCCCTTTGGGACCTCTGTGTGACTTTGACCTTGCTGAACAACTTATTTGCTGAGCATCCACTGTTTCTGATGTAGCTGCCTTCAGCCAAGAACTTTGACACAGTGGGTTTGATTCAGTTTGGGGCTCAGTGCCATTTCACTGCCAGCTGGGATGAAGGCAAGTTTGATGTCAATGTGGGTTGGCAAGACCGTTTGCTAGATGTAGCTTGATTTCCCAATGGGGGGGTTCAGGGCAGTTCTGGTTTGTCTGCTGCACCATCATGTGGTGATTCATCCCCTGCTGGTGCATCTTCCATCTTGGTGTCCTCTTGACATTTGCTCCAATATTACTCCAGACCTCCTAGGACCTCTGCCAACCCTGCAAAGGTTTTCCCACTTTCCAATAGCTGTCGCTAATTCCACCCTTCACCTACCCACTCCACAATGCTCAATAAGGTGATTCTCTCACGAGCTTGCCAACCTGGCAAGTGGGTAAGTCCCTCTTGGGTTTTCCCTTTGTTCCAATTTGTCTTGTATTATGTATATAAGTCATGTACTGTAGTTGATGGCACCTCAGTGCAAATCGACAATAATGACTATCCCCCAGAGTTCGCACCCCCCCCCATTCTGAAATTAAGGACCAGACACTAAGTGTTATCAAACGTAGGCACAGCGCTCCCCTCCAAGTCACTGAGGCCATGGTCCCTCCACCTGTCCTTGTCAGGGACAGCTCTGAAAGCGGCGAGGTCCCGGCACGAGGGACTTGATGGGACAGGTGTCGGCTATGCATAGCGGTGGTCCCGTCACGGGGTGAGCATCCCCAACCACTTAGGCTGAAGTGGGAAGTTGAGTTATCATTAAAAGGGGAAAGCTATGGTACTTACCTGAAGTGGGAAGTTGAGAAGAAGGCTGCTTCTTCTGTTCCCACCCCCAGGCGCTATTATATACATGCGGTCAGGGTCACGTGGGAGAAGCCACGTCATCTCCGCACACAGCTGCGCCTCCCCGGGTGTCTCTGTGGGAGATCCCGGAGGTGGCTGCTCAGTAGGCAGGAGTGTGTGCGCGGCGCGTGCGGCGATCAGGGGAGCAGGGTTAGGTACATAGTGGTACATGGAGAAAAGGGAAATCGACTGTAGAATAGAAATAGAGAGAAAAGGGGAAAGTGAGAAAGGAGGGACGGGGGATGATAGCGGGGAAAGTGGAGTAGGGCAGTACGGCACGGGGTGCGGCACAGGGTCAGGCGGGTGTGCCCTGACAGTCCTCTATCTCCAGCCTCCCTTCCGGGGAAAGGTCCAGGCACGCTGCCCCTCCTCGCTGTGTCCTGACAGATGACTCCCCTTTCCTCACATTTGTAGCACAGTGTCAGGGGACGGACCCCGGGTCCCCATGACCCCTCTTTATGGCCCACAGCCTAACCTGTGAGCAGCCCTGTCCAGGGCACTGTTGGAGTGCAGCGTGTGTTCCAGAGGTTTCTGACCAGGTGACTTTCACCTGACCTGTAAATGAATACTTTTCCCTTTTCTATTATCGCAGAATTATCCGCTACCGACTATACGGACATACCCACTCTTTCTATTCATTTCCTTTTTCCTCAGTTCTCCACGCTATTCAGCTTGAGACTGAGGTCAGTACTACTTTCTTTCTTTCAAATTTCCCTTCATATCTAAATGTGTATTATCTTTAGTTAAACTATGCTAGTATTTTCACAGGCACAACTCTACTGTGGGTAAGAAAGTGTATAGATAAATAGAGAGTAGGCTACACTTGCCCACTGTGGGTAAGAAAGTGAGAAGAAGGTTAACTTCTCACTTTCCCACAGTGGCCCCAATATGGCAAAAACTTCTGGGGATACCCGGAAGTCACATGAAGAGTGGGAACCGGGCCCGGAGCATGCGGGTCCAGGTCCGGGCTAGTCAGGGTGTATGCCCTGACACACAGACATGTCTGATGCCAGGCACCCTGCACAGGTACCACAATGTGCATTCCTACTTGTATCTCTCCTTCTTAACACTCAGGATCATCCACAGAACCACCTGCAAAGGCTCAGCTCCACCCAAGGTTGATGTGGCACTTCCATGTGACCTGATCTCACCTGTATATAAACTGAGCTGAAGCAGAACCAAAGAAGCAGCCTTCTGCTTCAGGCAAGTAGTTTAGTCTAGTTGAGCTTTTCACTTTAATGACCATGCACTTCTGCTTCAGCCTAAGAAGCCACACAGGGATGCAAGCCTGAGTGAGGGCTGTCCACTATATGTTCCCACCACCCTACCACTGTCTGGGCTGCTAGTGTTGAATGCTGTAACGGGGATTTGCTGGTGTACCATAAACAAGCCAAATCCCCCGATTCTACCACCCTTAGCCAATGTTCCCTCCTACACATTTCTTATTTTTCCTGATTTTTCTGACTCCATTTCCACCTGATGTTTCCCCTTCTTATTGTTCTTTCCTTATTTGTCATTACCGGACTCTTCCGTGATACCGTGACCAGCTGTATAGTTAGCTAGACAGTGAGGAGTAGCGGAATCCACTCCAAAACCTGTGCAAGCGACCACTCCAACCCTCCCCCTCTCTTCTGTCTCGAGTCTAGTGGTGATAGACCCGTTACAACGCTACGCTGCCACCCCTGCCTCCCTTGAACTGTCCCTGACACCTACCTCTGCTCATCATATTCTTTTTACTCCTTGATTTTCTCTGCACCCAATATTCTGGACTATGACTTCCAAGTTCCAGACCTTTCTGGACATTTTCCTCATAGTACTTGTGGACAGACTTAACCTCTGTTATTCAGTTGTTTCACCATTTTCCCACTCCACACCTCTCAGACATAATTTGGGCTTTTTGCCTAAAACCCATTTGTCCTGTGGAGTCATCTATTATTCACAGCTGCTTCCCCTTCATAATGCTTGTTCACCTTTGGACTCAAATATTCTTATATATACTCTTGTAAACTTCCTATTGAATAGTAGGGCTCCTAGCAGATCGGATTGGTCCGGATCTGGATCAGAATCCATGGATTTTTAGAGGTTTGAAACAAGAACTGTATCCAGTGGTTAGAAATCTGCAGATATGCAGATTGACTGCAGATTATGAAATTGTGTTTTGTTAGAATGGCCCTGATGAGAGCTTTCTAACAATACCAAATATGTCCATATTGGTGGAGAATGTCATATCCCGGAATTCCGGCCCTGCACTTCCCCACCTCACTACACCTTCCTAACAACCTCACCACCTCCTACACCATTTCTCCTTACATTCTCACCCCACCCTTGGCCACCTCCACCCTGGAAGCTTGGTCCCAAGTCAGAACCTTCAGAATCCCCAGACCTCCAGATACGTAACTCCAGGTTTGGACCTACCTGCATCCCTTGGTGACTCCACCCTCATCATCTCATCTTCCACTTATAGCATGGCTGACATCTTCTTTCCATTCAGTTGGCTAACTTCCCCTTACCCATTTCTCATTCCCATTTAGCCTCCAGCCTTCAACTCTGCCTCCCTCAACCCAACACCTCGGTTCCCCATTAAAGATAACCTTTGGAATCTTTCAGACTTTGACTAAAGTCTTCCTCCACCTTAATACCTGTAGATTAGAACCCATTGTACGTTAGTTCTGATCTTGACTAAACCTCACCCCCAAGCTCCCCTATGAGTGATTCATGTCCCCCTCTTACAAGATACCTCAGACATCTGAAATTAAGGACAACTAAGACATAACGGATGCACAGCACTCCCCTCCAAGAGGCTGAGGCTGCATCTGTCAGAGACCAGGTTGAGATGAACGAGTGTCTCCATGGCAGAGGGCTTCGGCCTCAGTGACTTGTGCCAGGAGCGCTGTGCCAAGTAACACATCCGTGCCCTAACTTACTAAACTGGCAACCAGAACTGAAGGGGGATAAACTCTAGTCGATTTTATTACTGAGGTGTAACCTATGTACAAGTTGAGTATATATATGGTTACAACGAGGGCGGGTCCGCAAATGGCAGAGCCAAGCGGAGCGGAGCTAACGGGGTTAGACATTAGCTGATTGAATATTACCGATGAGTCGGGTTATGGGGTTAACAGAAAGGCAGGCGATAACCCAGAAACAGAAAGGAGGGATAGACCCGAAGGTGGGCTCTGCAGGGCAAGCGAGTGTATTGGCCAGCGGAGGTGGGAGTGCGCTAGCGGACATCAGAGCTGTCCGGAAGCCTTCGGGGCTCCGTACTTAGGGAGGTGTAGGTAATAAATTGAAAGGAGGGGGTGGTGACCATCAGGGGAGTCAGAGGTAGTTGCGGAATCCAGAGGCTCCGAGGTTAGTGATGGAGGAGTGGAGGAGACCTGGAAGGACTGGAGGTAGTGGAGGGTGATGGCCATGGATGGATATGACACTGCCATTGCTCCCTGCTCCTCCTATCCTTTCTGCTTTCTAAGAACACTGCACACCCCTCCTGTACCACCACACCCTAAGGCCACTGCCACTATCGCCATACCCACTGCATGCATTCCTGCCCACACAGCGGCCACCCTTGGGATCTCCTGTGGAGACACCTGGAGAGGTGCAGCTGTGTGCAGAGATGATGTGGCCCCTTCCACATGACCCTAGACACATGTATATAACAGCACCTGGGGTGGGAACAGAAGAAGCAGCCTTCTTCTCACTTTCCCACTTCAGGTAAGTACCATAGCTGTCATATCCATACAACTCCGGACCTCTGCTCCTGATTCTGGACCTCCATCACCTCCTCCAGAACTCCACATCCTCCACCTCCACCTCCCCCTGAAGGTTGTTGAGAGCCCACTCTACCTCTGGCTCCAACACAATGTCCAACACTACCTCTGATCCGACTCCGGTTTACTCCAGGTCCGATCCCAACCTTGTACCTTCCAGACCAGAGCTTGTGCTGCTCCACACCTCTGGCTCTGGACTCCTGTACCGGAACCCCATGCACCTCCACCTCTGGAACTCTGGTCACATCTCCACCTCTGGACTTTGACCTCCTCCATCTTATCTCCTTGTATTCCTTATTGCATTTCATTTATTATGTCTTGCCAATATTCCGGACTTAGACTTCCGACTCCGGACCCTGCAGTCTCTACTGTATGGTGTCATTTAATCCTCTTCTTTATTTAGATGGCTGCTTCCTTTCCATATTAGTCAGCTGTCATTCCCCACAACCCACTCCACTCCTTCCCCTCTTGGCCTTGCCCTTTTGGGAAGCACCATAGAGTTCCAACCCTTGACCCTTGTGGTTGTTCCCTCATCCAGTCCCCCTTTGTCCTCCAACTCCACTCCTGTATTATTATATATACTCTGTACATAGTTTCCTGTACCCCTAGTCTGAAATTGACAACTAGAGCCAATGACCAGAGAACCAGAATCAACTGGATTGTCCCCCCAAGAGACTCCCCCTGCTAACCTGAAATTAAGGACCACCTGTCATATCCGTGCATACCCGACCCCTACCCAACTTCCGGACCTCCACCCTCTCCACCTCCAGAGTCATACCCTACTGCTGCCGTTCCAATACTCACCTTCGGTCCTGGCAACACACCTCCTTCTACCCCCCATGCCACCTCTACACCTCCTTCCCTCTCCTCCCCTATCTCCGTCCGCTCCGATACTCACCTTGGACCGAACACCGCCCCTCTCACCACCCTCCTACTACTTCTCCACCCTCCTACTCTGCTCCTCCTTCACAACACCTCCACCCTCCCATCACCCTCCTACGCCTCCCCCATCCGCTCCGATACTCACCTTCGGACCTGACAACTCTCCTTTCCGCCACTCCTTCTCCCTTACCTTTCCCCTCTCTCCTCCCTCTGGTACTCCTCCGCCACCCTCCTACGCCTCCCCCATCCGCTCCGATACTCACCTTCGGACCTGACAACTCTCCTTTCCGCCACTCCTTCTCCCTTACCTTTCCCCTCTCTCCTCCCTCTGGTACTCCTCCGCCACCCTCCCACCAAGTTACGACCTTCCACCGCTGTCCTGTACTTCGTACTCGGACACCGCTCATACCTTTGCTCCGAGCCTCCGTCATAGTCCCTACCTTGGACTTTGACTCCACCTCAGTCTTAGTCCATTGCATTGGTGACCTCATACTACGTAAACACCATTGCCAATATCCCTCGGACTTTCAACCCTGCCTCCGTAACCTCTGTAAGCTCCACAACCCCCGAGCTTCACGGATCGCCTTCGGCACTTTCGCCGCTTGTAATGTATCTCTCACGTTTACCCCTCATCCCTACTTGGACTACTGCTTCTTCCCATTCTAGCCAGTTAGTCATCATCCCCACTTCTCCTCATCCTCCTGCCCCTCTGGGCCTTGCCCTCCCTACCTCCTTTCGGACATATCACAGGTCCTGCCTTATGACCTTCGGTACCGCTCCGCTTCTTCTACCCTTTGTTCCCGTTCGGATGTCTTCGTTCCGATTCGGTTTCCCTTTGTTTCCTTGTGCTTTTGCCCCCTCCATTATATATATCGGCGCTTGTACATACTCGTTTTGGTTCAGTCCGAAATCGACCTGAATTCCCCCCAAGAGACTTTCCCTCTGCTAGATCCAAAATTAGGGACCCCTAGGACAACCAGCAATGGCACAGCGCTCCGCCTGAGTCGCTGCGGCTGAGGTCCTTCCATGCTAAGTCTCCGATTCCACTCCGGAGTTGTCTGAATCCGCACATTCTAACACCACCTTAGACAACAAAGCAGTGGCACAGCACTCCACTTGAGTCACTGAGGCCAAGGTCCCTCCTTCCTGAGTCCCTTCTCCACTTCCGGACAATTACGCACTCTATAACAGTAGCTTTTCCCCTTTAATGATGATTCACTTTCCCACTTCAGACCAAGTGGTTGGGGACACTCACCCCACGATGGGACCACCGCTATGCATAGCCACTACTAGTCCCCCACACCGCGACTTCGCCGCTTTCGGAGCTGTCCCTGACAGTCACTGAGGCCAAGGCTCTTCCACCCACACTCTCACTCCACTCTTCATTCTGGGTTACATCCTCACACCACTGTGTGTTTTAACAAATATAACAAAACACACATAAGTTAATACAAGAAAGTACAAGTGAGAATATAATGAATGATGTGCAGCATAAATACTTTACATCCTCCCTTGCAATATATAATATCACATGTGGGGAAGGAAGGAAATGAAGGGACTTGTTGGAGTGCTACAGTTTCCACAAAGAACAAAAAACATTTTGTTACACCCACTGAGGCTTCAAAGTACATCCATTGCTTCATTGCTGATCACCACCATTCATTGATGTCAGCAACTTCTTCACCCCTCATATTCTCACCCTGCAAACAAACATTAAGAATAAACAAGAACACAAAGGCTCATGATTTCCGCAACCTACCTCTACCTCTGTCCTTTCTACACCAAGGCAACGTCGCTTCACTCCAGCCTCCATTAAAGGTTGAGGTGACACCCGTTTCCTTCTCACTGCATCCATCCTCTGGCTGGTTGTAGCTGCCAGTCCGTCCGAGCGTGGCACCAGTTGCACGGACGGAAGCGGGTGTCAACATGATGATCCATGAATGTTTCATGATGATGGTCAAGGATAAATTGGAGGATCAAGCGCTGGAACGCCTCATTAATGTACTCTGGGTCATTTCGTACATCTGATTCTGGAAGCCAATGTCTGTCAACAATAAGAATGGCAGCGAGCTTGCTGATCAAAGTGTGTAAGGGTTTGTACATTGAATGGGTGATGTCAAGACCTCTCGCCAGTGACGTGACCAAAGCACCACGGTGGTTGGCAGCCCCTATTAATGAAGTCCAGGTAGCTGGGTCGACATATTCACTTGGGCCTTGCCTTTGCAGAGGCTGCACGACCATAGCCCAGTAAACAAGGAGCCAAAAGACGGATTCCGCATCATGATCAAGTTCGTGCCTCCAATCGTGACCACCACCTGCCGCTAACGGACCCTCAACCACAAGCTTCTCTATCAACGGGAATTTCTTGATTCGGTCTGGGTGGTTCAAAGTATAGATTTCGGGGCTATTGGGTACTGCCGGAACCTGTGCGATGTCTGCAAGTGACACAGGTCCTCCCATTTCAACTGCCCGAGAGATGAAGATAGGTGTTCCCTGGTAAAATTGCGAGTGAGGGTAAATCAGATGAAGATGAGGTAACTCACGGTTCGTTCGGTTCGCTGGTGCTCAGAACCCTGTTTGTTTCCCAAATGTTCCGCATGATTGAAATCGATCAGGAGTGCCGACGTTTGGCAGGGATCATTACTATGTCCAATCTTTGTTAGCAACTGTCCAATTTCAGCGTGTGTGTACATACCTCTCGCGAAGTAGGTACTTGATGAAGCAAAGCGGCAACTCTTTTGATGCCGTCGCTTCGGCTCCGACAGACTGAGTATCCGGCTCGAGGCTTGACGGCTCCTGGGTATACAAAACATTTCCTCTGCTGATATCACGATGAAGGACCTGACGGTGGAAACGCATATATCGTAACACTTCCAAGCATGTGAGCTTGTGGAGTATTGCCAACAGAGATTAAAGTACCTTCCAGAACGTCAAACAGCGTCTCCAACACTTTACGCGGAGTAGGGATACTTGTGAAAGGCAATCCTGATTGCCGAAGCCCCAAGCGGTGCTTATTTTTTCCCATAAGATAAGGGATTTCAATCGTCTCATGGTACACGGCTTCCACAACACCAGGCACCCTCTCCGGCTTATGAATGTGGGTGAGGATTGTCTGTTCGTCGAAACGAGTTCCAGTTCGGCATAGCTGTTCTTTGAGCACGGTTAGAGCTTTGCCTTCGACCTCGAATTGGAACGATGGATTGGAGAGCACATGTGTACGTGTTCCGAAAGGATTACTAGCAAATATCGGAGAGAAGTCCAACACGTGTGCACCCCGATCTCGAGTTGTCACCTGAAGATTGATACGCCAACTATAGTTCCTAGTGGTTTCCTTTGGATCAACAACAAACGGCCCGCTATATGACGGGTCCGCAAAATTGTCGGGTTTGTAGAGGCGATAGATGAACGCATATAATGGTTTGTAAAGGTCGTTGTGGTTCCAAGGGAGAGAAAACCTGCGTATGCCATCCCCCGCAATCCCTAAAAGGAATATGATGCCAGCCTTGGAGGTGAGTAAGCCTGGTGCGACATAGAGATCGGGTCGTGCCAGAAGAAGGTAATGCAAGTACGAAATCGCGTTTTTCTTCTGTTCATCTTTGGACGCCTGCTCTCCGGCGAGTCGGACGCATGACCAGTGTACGGTACCGTCCTCTAGCCAATCACGCTCGAAGGCAGCGGTAATATCGGGCCTACACCTCGTGTCCGATACATGTCCGTGGTGTGTTTTGTTTCCCGTGTCCTTGAACACCAAGAGACCTTGCTCGTTTGCAACATCTAAAGTGAGAATGATATGTTGGCCGGAAAAGCGAAATACAGAAAGTGTGGTGCTCACGCTGTCTCATGGAATTGGCCAAGTCATTGGCCGCGTCAAGAAAGCGCAGAACGGAGAAGTTACGAGCTGATTCAGATGGGAGAAGGCCATCGTTAACACCCAAGAATTGGAGAAAGGCCTCTGTCGTCCTGAAAGGTGCCACCGTGTGAAGGTTCTAACGGAATAACCGCTTGCTCTAGTAGTAAAGCTTAGTCTCACTATATGCGCGAGAACTATTATATTACCTAGTAGTAAAGCTATAAGGTAATATACAATGAGTTATAAGATATAAGAAAGAAAGAAAGATAACTAACCTCAGTCTCACTATATGCGCGAGAACTGAGGAAAAGGGAAACTAATTCAAAAGATTGAATATAGTTTGTGGACTTCGCGGATAAGTCCGAAGTGACTAAAATAGATAAGAAGAAAAAGGTGTTGTGACCAAGTAGTCACGCTACCGCGGGAATGTGGCTGTCCGGGCGAGTTCCTCGCTCGGATGTGGGAATGTGGCTGTACGGAAACTCGTCCGGCCTCCCATAGCACACGGTTCCTCCAACACGCCCACTCCGTGTGCGCCCACTGGAATGAGTCCAGGTGAGTTTCCCTAGCTCTCAATGCTCCTCCAGAGTCATCTGTAGCGATGGGGTAAATCCTGCAGTCCAAATAACGGATGCCCAGATCACACAAATCGGATGTGAGGCGTTGTCAAAGAAACAACAAACACAAGATAAAAGATAAAAGAAAGAACGGGGTTTCAAAAACAGGTGAGAATCATCATTCACCGTTGAGCAGCCTTTAGCTGTCTCTCCCGTCAATTTCGCCTACTAATCCTGCCTCTTAGCAGTACTGATTCGGCTTGTGCACAACCGCGCGTCGATCGGATTGTCAATCTCGACATCTCGACATCGTTCGAAGTTCTCATACTTCGCGATAAATGCTTCCACCCGGCTTGAGGTCTCTCTGTGCCTCATCCCTTGATTGCATCGGGGAGCTTCGGCTGTGATCGGTGAGGATTTGCCATCGTTTGTTGATCGGTATGTTGTCTCTTCACCTGCGCTTCCTGCGCATTCGTTGGTGTGGACCGATCTTTGCTGATCTGACTCTGTAGTCGTCGATCCTGGCGATCTGTTCCATTTGAACAATGGGATTGGATTGGGGAATGGATATCGATCTGGATTTGGAGTGAATGGGAGGTTTCGGCGGTTCGGTATGGCCAATTCGCGTGCATATCTTGCTCCGTCGTGTCCATTGGTCATCGGTTCCCCCCTTGAAGCGCCACCTTCCCAACTATCTTCTCCATCCCTACATTCATCTCTACGATCCTCTCCACTCTCATAGTCTTCTATGAGTTCTTCCATCCAGTCTGAGGCATCGCGCACCGTCGCTTTGTCAGAGTCTTGTAGCGATTCTGACGTGCGTGAATCAATTTCATCACCATTTTCCGTCCTTGAAAACGCGAGTGATGACCCGTCGTCGTCTTCTGTATCGCCCACTGAAGAATCCGTCTCGATTTCGCCCACTGAAGTCCTCACTTCGAAGACTTTTGGTGTATGACTTGGGCGTTCCGGATTTGAGTCCGTACTAGTGTCCGGGTCTGACTCCCTGGACGACTTCCTGGATCTCTGGCGATTGGATCGACGGTGTCCATTATCTGTGGTGGTGAGCCGCTCTGCGCGCGCTCTTAGCCTCGGTTTTGGTGTCACTGGTTGGTCTGATAAATAGTCAGTGTTTTGGTCAATTTCGCGATTTCTGTCGACATTTTTCGACGATTTCGAAGGATATTTGCGCGTTGATCGACAGGGAATGGATTCTGTGGTGACAGGCCGCTTCGTGCGAGCATTTGGCGTCGATTTCGATGGGTTTTGGAGGTTGGATGGGCGAGTTTTCGTCGATTTGGAGATTTTCGGTGCGCACTTCTCCATTTTCTGGTTCTTCGCACCTTTCTCCCCCCTTAAATCGCCATATTGACGTCCTGCAACGCCTTTAGGTTTACTCTCAGCCAATCCTTTCCATATTCCCCCCTTTCCATCGACCACACCCATTCGCGCGCATCTGCTACTGTCGGTTTCAATAAACTCGACCTTGCGCGCGCCGATTATCCGTCGTTTCTCCCGGTTATAGAGCATCCAGTTGCTCTTCCTCTCATCGAATCCGATGTAGGTTCCCTCGAAGGATCGCACACCCAGCCTTTCCTGGGATTTTCCTGGTATGCGCATGTATGCTGCACACCCAAATGGCCTCATCTGCCTGGGTTTCAGTTTCTCCCCAACATAGATCTCGTATGGGGTCTTCTCTCCCTCTGAGGCGCCTGCCAAGACTCGGTTCTTGGTCCAGATCTCGTGTCGGATCACGAAATCCCAGAGGTTCTGCGGGAGTTTCTTAACTCTCAGCACTTCCCGGGCTTCCTTCAGCATTGACTTTGCGCGATTGTTCCAAGTATGGTCTGCGCACTCTGCAATGCCGTCTTGTGAGGAATCTGCATTGATGATTTCGTGCTTGATCCCCTCTTTTGCCTGGAGCCTCTGGAAAATTTCCGAATCATACACTCCACTTCCATTGGTCCGGAATATCTTGAGTTTCCGACCAGTCTCCATCTCAGCACTGGCTTTCCAGCTCTTGAAGAGCTCTAGGGTAGCTTCCTTCGTGCTTGCGGATCCAACACGTGTATAGCGACTATATTCATCGGTGAAGGTTGCAATGTAGCGATGTCCTTCCCGGTTCGCTTGGTGTACTGGTCCCCATATGTCGCTTGTTACCCTTCCAAGAACTTCATCTGCCCGCACTTCCGTGACTCCGGGATTTTCCTCGCGGGTCTGTTGGACTTCTACTTGGAGTCTATAAAGACTTCCGTGAGAGTAGGCTTGGGCAATGAGTTGTTTGGTCTTGGAGCACCGGATGTCAGCGGTTTCTGTACCGAGGGTAGTTGAGAGTCCGACACTGGAGAGTTGGTGGATAGAGAGGAGATTGTTTGTGATTGATGGAACGTGGAGGACATTTTTGATTGTCACCGGGCGCAAATTATTTTCGGTGAGTGTTTGGACTTTGATATTTCCGATGCCGATCGCTATTGCGGATTTCTGATTTGCGACTCGGATATGTTTAGGTTGATTAAAACTTTGATATGTGGTGAAAAGTGAGCGGTCCGTGCTCATATGCGAAGTCGCACCAGAGTCGATGATAAAATAGGTGCTGCCTTTGGGTGAAGCAGTGCAATCAACCCTTTCCTCTTGTCTGAGGTGGGGTGCTTCTGCCGGAGTTGTTATGTGGGGCTGACTATCTGAGCTCCCATCACTACCGCTTGCCGAGTCTCTTTTCGGCCTCTTCCCCGGACTTCTCTTCGGACCTTGCTCTCTCACATCTCCCCCTTCAGCCCAACATTCCTCAGTGGAATGGCTTCGCCTCCTGCAGTTTTGGCATCTCAATCCTTTCCTTTGCCTCGAGTCCGATCTCGGACATTTACTGTTTCGGCTTTGCATACTCGGCTTCTGCTCCCGACATTTCCCTTTGCGCTCATAGTTGCAAATGGACTCAATGGTCTCTTGGAGGGTAAGGGAGTGCCGGTTGATTAAGGATGTTTGGAGAGTGTTCCAAGTTGGGGGCAATGATAAGATGAGGGCTGCCGCTAATAGATCCTCGCTAGCCTGATTTCCGGATGTGTGAAGTTTGAGAGCTGCTTTCTCTATCTCCTGGACTAGGGATTCAATGTCCCATTTCTGAGTCCTTTCTTCATTCCGCAACTTCATCAATAATGATACCACGGATTTGATGCCTATCCCTGAGAACTGGGTTTGTATCGCGTTCCACATTTCAGACGCGACCATGAGATCAGAATAAGTTTCTGTAATCTCATCCTCGATAGATGCTAAGATCTGGAGGAGGGCTTCAGAGTTGCCCTTCTTCCATGTCTCTAAGGGAGTCGTGGTTGTTGATTGAGATGAAGCGGGGTCGGAATCGGCAAATGAGTGGGGAATGTATGGGGGTAGCGGTCTCGGGATAGAACCATCTGCATAGCCAAATAGATTTTGACTTTCCAAGACTAGAGCGATTCGCTGTTTCCAAGTTGCATAGTTTGACCCATCAAACTTGAGTTTAGTGTACTCGAAAGTTTTGGCACAGGGCCATGCAGGAGTTGTCTTAGAGTTCATTGTAGAGCTAGATGGCGAGTTCTCTTGTGGACTTGGAGCTATAGAGAGCTCCTGGGCTCATAACCTAACGGAATAACCGCTTGCTCTAGTAGTAAAGCTCAGTCTCACTATATGCGCGAGAACTATTATATTACCTAGTAGTAAAGCTATAAGGTAATATACAATGAGTTATAAGATATAAGAAAGAAAGAAAGATAACTAACCTCAGTCTCACTATATGCGCGAGAACTGAGGAAAAGGGAAACTAATTCAAAAGATTGAATATAGTTTGTGGACTTCGCGGATAAGTCCGAAGTGACTAAAATAGATAAGAAGAAAAAGGTGTTGTGACCAAGTAGTCACGCTACCGCGGGAATGTGGCTGTCCGGGCGAGTTCCTCACTCGGATGTGGGAATGTGGCTGTACGGAAACTCGTCCGGCCTCCCATAGCACACGGTTCCTCCAACAGGTTCTCGCGGTAGCCGAAAGCTTGGACCTGATCGCGTTTATGGGCGACAAAATAGTTGGGAAGTTTGGCTACAGGAGACGACCCGACCGAAAGGGATGTCCCATGTGGAGGTGTATGCATGCCTGAATCGGGCGGGGGAGTGGCAGAAGACATGGTCGTTGGAACGGCTTCCGCAGGACACACCACACCTCGATATGATGGGCAGTCGTTCAGTTGGCTGGCTCCCACACTCACGTGAGACCAAAGCCAGTTGGCCTTAGCAAGGGGGTGTCGGCATTTCCCGGTTGAAAGGTATGGGGTTCACAGGGGGCCCGGACATGTAACTTCATGTCACGAACCTCTCGGCGCTAACGAGCGTGGGAACGGAGCGGAGCGAAGCGATGTCGGAAAATCGCGAGATCGATCAAAAGCACGAGACTTGACATTTAAAACGCCAAAATTTGACGTTTAAACGTGAATTTTGGCATCTAAACGTTGTGATAAATTGTTTATGGCGTTTTTTGATATTATTGAATGCGTTTTTATACCCCTCAAACGCTCTGAATATGTTTTTAATAACTTAATAAATGTGTCATAAATGCTTCCTACAGCATCAAAATTGTCAAAAATCCGTCTCATATAACACATAAAGTACCACCACATCTGACCAATGTATTCTCATCGGCTGTTGGGTAGTTGTTGTAAATAAACGCCATGAAACGTTTCCCGGGCGTTTAAACGATATACGGGATTTTCCGACAGAGAGTTGTGAGATCACGGGAAACAAGATCACGAGCCACAAGATCACAAGATCACAAGAAGTCTATTGAGGTCAGCGACCTGTGTTGAAAAGTTGAAGAGTCCGTCTTCACTGGTCAACTCCTTATATACATGAAGATGTGCTAAAACATGCGAGGTGAGACATATGAGACAAGAGAAACATACAGGAAGTCTTAAGCTACATGAGTTGAAATGGAACTGAGATATGCGGGACATGTGAAACCTCCGTTAAGTCCGTCCGGGGTTACGGCTTAACCGTAACACTTCATGTGGTCTGAAACAACATTGGGGTGACCAAATTCAAGTAAGTAGGCTATTGAGGTCATGTTTGCGGGTCTGGCCAATGGGGCAATGCTTGTTATGTCAAAACCGTGAACCAACTGATGCTTGTGGAGTGTCCCCTCCCTATTATCCCCCAACCCAACCCATTTAATGAGCCCAGAGTTATTCCCACCTAGTTGATACCTCATCCCATCCCATCGAATGCGACTGATTATAATTTAACATCTCCCTAGTTATCAGCAATGGAACTAAGCATGATATTGATGTGTGGTAGAAATAGTGGTAAATACATGGGTTGAAGCCCAACATATCATTGACAGCAAAGGGAGCCAATGACACTGTGCCACCTCAAAAGTTTGTTTTGGTTCAAAAACAGGACCAATTTGGAGTTTGGAGCTGGGTTAGGCCAGGTAATAGCCTTCAGCCTATATGTGAGGCCCCGGCCCATGTCTATATTCCGCCCACAACATCAGTTGATGTTGTGTTGTGTAATAATTATGTCGCGACACTAATTTAGCATTGCGGAAGCTTCTCTATTTATTTGTGCCGAGAATGTATAAGATTGTATATAAACCCTCGGGGTAGCTGTAAAAGGCTGATCAGCCTTTACTTCTACCCCGTTAATATACAGCCAAATCAAGCATATACTTAGACGGACTTCTGAGGCCTGAGGCAAATGGGGGAATGGAACGTTACTGTCCCCAAACTAATAAGCAACCTTTCACTATAGCTGGGTTGGGTGGGGAATAGTGGGGAGGGGAGGTTGGCAATGAATGATGAAAAATGTGACCATACCATTTCATGGCACATGTTATGGAAATGGGAATTTCCCATTTTAGACTCTTATGGGTTCTGTATCACATGATTTGTATAGTAATAGAGTTTATCCAATCAATAAACAACCAAAAACCCGCTGTGCTAACATCTGTTACAACTAATGTTAAACTGCCTGTGATAACATCTGTATAACCATATGAACCCCATTTCCCAACCTTTCCCTCTTCCTGCGCTAAGGACGGACGAAAATGGGTGCCTCTGGCCCCATTTTTGTAAAGCACAAGTCATGATTGTGCACCTGCTTGGGTTGGGTTGGGTAATAACCAGGTGGGGACAATGGGTAATGTTGCCAAATATGGGCAAGGCAACTGCCGAGGCCTGTGGCATTCTCCGATTGAATTGGGGGGGGGGGGGGGGGGGGGTTTCCCAGGATTGGGGAAAACATGTAACTGGCATACTGTCAGGGACTGCATGTCAGTTCACGACAATAAAGGTGTTCCCGAGAATCCTAGTCATTGTTAACGCTGAAGTGCCACCTTCAGCGGAGATAGGGCTTATATACATGGATACCGCTATCCACTAGAGTGCGGCTACAAACGAGATAAGGAACAGCTGATAGAATGACGACATGAAAAGATAACTATTCATTCGGATAATCATAAGCAAGGTGTGGGAAAGGGGCAACATGTGGATGGAAGATAGAAGCAGGATGCCAAGCAAGAGCTAAGCGAGATTACCTGCGTTCTTCGGATCACTCCGGATTGTCTGACGGCAACTCCCTTCCGGCATAGGGAGTCAGGGTAGCCGGTTAGGCCATGCCCTGACACATACCTTTCATGTCTGCATTACCGACACCCCCTTGGGCCTTAGTACAGTCACCAAGCCATGCGCTGAGCACTTGTGCAAGGGGGGCTCATTCAGGAAATGCTGAACCCCATGATAGTCTGACCATCATGGGGGCAATGTTGTTCAGTCCAATAGAACCTATTACTTGTCACGGGGACACAGTAATATGGTACTACAGGTACCCCACCTGATGTACTGTCTTAGATTGGTATTTGCCCCTTGGCTGTGCACACTCTCGCACCAGTGCACTGAAGTGAAAAACTAGTACCAGTCACAAATGCCTGGAGTGTCATATCCATCCCCGGCCATCGACTTCCACTCCCTCCAATCCCTCCAGTCTACCTCTGCTCCTTCTTCACTAACCTCAGAGCTCTCATGTCCCGCAATCACCTCCACTTCCCTCAATGGTCACCACCCCCTCTTTTCAATATATTACCTATGCCTCCCTAAGTATGGAGCCCCAAAGGCTTCCAGACAGCTCCGACATCCGCTAGTGCACTCCCACCTCCACTGGGCAATACACTCGCTTGCCCTGCAAGCCCACCTTTGGGCCTATCCCTCCTTTCCATTTCTGGGTTATCGCCTACCATTCCACTAACCCCGTAACCTGACTTGTCGGTAATATTCAATCAGCTAATGTTTAACCCTGTTAGCTCCACTCCACTCAGCCCTGCCATTTATGGGCCTGCCCTTGTTGTAACTATATATACTCAACTTGTACATAGGTTACACCTCAGCAATAAAATCGACTAGAGTTGACCCCCTTTAGTTCTCGTCACCAGTAAGTAAATTAGGGCATGGACATGTAACTTGGCACAGTGCTCCTGGCATAAGTCACTGAGGCCGAAGCCCTCTGACATGGAGAAGCTCCAGGGTACCGTGACCTGAAACCCAGAAAACCCCCTATGCCATGACTTCTTCAGAGCTCACCATCACATGCCCTTCCAGCAACGTCTCCGGATGCGTCATCACCACTGCCAACATTGTCAACAACATTGACAACATTTCTCTCAAAAACTCATTATTTCCTTATGACTTGATTTGTACATGACATAACTTCCCTTTTTCTCTCTCCATTGCCATTTGCTGCTTCGCCATCCTTGTTGACATTGTTAAGATCGATATTCTCGGTGTTGACTTCATCCTTTCCTAATATCTCTCAGAATTCATTTACATAATGTGAAAGGATCATATTGTATTTAACATTGGAGACAAAAATCTCCTGAGAAGCTATGAGTTGCCTTATGTGACATGATGGGAACATCGTTACTTTATGTTGGGGCTTGCCTAAGCACTTCCACCAACTTGCTCACATGTGCCAGCAAGTACTTGTAAGGTTCTCATTGCACATGCCTTGGCATCCCCCCTTCTATCTCGTTGCTGGGTGGGGCATTCCATCAGTGGGTTTTCCATGGCTTTGGATTTGCTGGCGCCTTGCGCTTCTTCCTGTAAGATCCGTTAACAACCTCACAAACTCTTGAGAAACCATGGCTCACAAGTTGGTCCTCATGCTAGGGCCAGGTTCCATGGGTGTCACTGGCCCAGCCTCTATGTGAGCGGTGCTGCTTGCGAGTGTGGCATTATTTGGATGGCTGGAAGGTCTTATCTTTTGGGTAATGTTCAACTAATATTCTAAATTCCACAAACCTTGGCACACTATCAGTAATGTTGTCCTGCACGCTACTGATGCAACTTCCACCCCAGGCTGAGGCTGCTTCTGATTCCAGATGGGAAAGCTCTTTTTTCTGCTGCTCAATCTCCTCTGCCATCATTTTGACCCATCTACTCGACCCATTCTTCCATCCATTGATCACCTTTTGGAGATGCTCAACAATGGCCTTCTTCAGTTTGACTATCGTACCACCAGGGTAGTTTGTCATATCGATCTTGATGCCATGTCAGATTGTCAGCTTTAGATAGTTACAGGGCACCCACTCCACTCTCAGTTGAGTTACCCTTCGGCTTTCAGAGTGATCTATCTGACAACATTGTGGAGTGCCACTCACTTAGTTCAGATTTAGTCCAGTCCGCCAACTGGGCATGCAGTGTCCCTGATCCCGCTTTGTAAATTTTGACAACATCTTTAATCATCATGTCAGTAGTGCAAGGTGGCTGGCTCTTAGCTCCTCACTGTTCAGTGCAACAATGCAGTATGCCTCCATGAGCTGGGTGTGCTTCCGCAGGTTTACATTCGCTATGTGTCAGGGGACATGTGTGCTCACTGTAATGGGTCTATCCAACTAGACTCAAGACAGGAAGGAGGGGGGATAGGAATCTCACTACTGGTCAGGCTGAGGTGGTATATTGGGTCCTCTAGAGTAAGGTGCTGATACTCTCTAGCTACTGTACAGTAGGTCACGGAAGAGTCCGATAAACAAATAAGGAAAGAACATCACATGACAATAAGGAAACAGAAACATCGGGCTCTAAACACCGAAAATGGAATCAGAAAAATAAGGAAAAATAAGGAGTGTGTATGAGAAGTGGGTGAGAGTGTGTGCTATGTGTCTAGGATGTGGGGAGTTTGTTGAGCATGGTAGAATCGCAGGATTTGGCTTGTTTATGGTACAATGGCAAATCCCTGTTACATTGTGCAGGTTGCTCCGATAACCTAGTTTTAAAGCCAGGGGAAAGGAATGTCCCCATTTTAGAGTCAGCTATATACATGTAGAGTCCAGCAATAAGGAAACCAAACAGATTGCCAATAGAATCACATGACCATAGAATGTTCCAGAACAATGCCGGAGATGATCTGGGCTACTGGGGTTTAGGTAATCAGAGTAGATGGGAATTGCTGGCATAGGGTCCAGGGTCATCGCTGATCCCTGACTGTCAGGGACTCGTCCAGGGCTGAGAGCCTGGTGGGGGGTGGATTGGGCATGCGTACTGACAGGCTGTCATGTCCCGGAATCCCGACCCTGCGCTCTCCCACCACACCACACCTTCCTAACAACTTCACCATCCCCTACACCATAACTCCACACTCCCCAAGTCACCTTCCTTCCTAAACTGTCTCAGCTCTGGCCTGGTTGTGGCACACTGAACCTTGGCTACTCCCATCCTGGAAGCTCGGTCCCGAGTTGGAACATTCGGAGACTCCGGATTTGCTCTGATCTCCTGATGGATCTCTGACATCCTGTGACATACCCCTAAACCATTCCCCACCCATTTCATTTATTGGAGTCACCCAACATCCTTTGGACATGTAACTTTGCCTTCGGAGCTACCTGCATCCTTCGGTGACCCCACTCATGTCATCAATTATTAGTCACCTTCCATTTATAGCATGACTATCTTCTTCTTCTTTCCATTCAGTTGGCTAACCCCCTCTTACCCATTTCTTGTTCCCATTCATCCTCTGGCCTCTTACTCCGCCCTCCTTGACCTGACACCTTGGTTCCCCATTAAGGATATCGTTTGGGACCTTTTGGTACCTCTCAGTATCATTCGGCACCTTTCAGTGTTTTCCATTATCATTCGGACTTTGACTAAAGTCCTTCCTGTTCCTCTGTATAAATACTTGTAGATTAGAACCTGTAGTTTTCCCTAGTTCTAATTTTGACTAAAATGTTACTCCAAGTCCCTCTGAGTGAATCCCGACCCCTTTCTACAAGATACCTCAGACACATGAAATACAAGGACTAACTGAGACGTAATGGAGGCACAGCGCTCCCTCCGAGTCACTGAGGCCATGTCCTTCTTAGAGCCTCTTGTACCACCCAGCAGACCCAGGCTTCCTGGAGAAGCTTCGGTCCACTACCGGAGCTCTCGGATCCCCTCTAGTTGAGCCCCACCTGCATTCAGACTCACGCATTTTACCCTATGTTCAGGGTTTTTGACACAGGCCCAATGCGGGACAGCAGTCCCTGGCCACTTAGACTGAAGTGGAAAGTTGGTATTGTCATTAAAGGAGGGATACTGTACTACTTATCTGAAGTGGAAAGTTGAGAAGAAGGCTACTTCTTCGGTTCCCACTTCAGGTTCATTTATATACATGCAGCTTAGATCACATGACAGGTTCCACGTCACCCTTGCACACAGCTGTAACCACCTGGGTGTCTCTGTGGGAGATCCCGAGGGCATCCGGTGCAGGTGCGTGTACTGGGCACAGTGGGAAGTCGCCTGAGGTGCCTGGGTTGGGTGTATGGTGTGCATGCTGCAGATGGGTCAATGGTACATTGATACAAAGAAGGTCGTCCATGTAGAATAAAGAGAAAATAAAGAAGAAGTAAGATAGGAGGAAAGTGAGGAAGCATGGATGAGGAGAGGGGAGGGAAAAAGGGGAAGGAGGTGAGGAGGGGTGGACAGCGGGGTATTGGGTCAGGTTGGGCCAGGTGGAGGTCAGGTGGGTGTGCCCTGACACTGACACTACGCCCAACCAGTACTCCTTTGCCTTCTCTGAAGCCCACATGACTGGTGCAAACAAATCATTGTTGGACCCTTTTACCATCATAATCATACCATGGATATCACACAACTTGGTCACATTCTCTGCCTACTCCTGGTTATCCTCTGGCAACTAATGATTCATCTTGAGGCTTACTATCTGGATAAGCTGATCATGGGCATGTAGTGCAATGCGTTGCACTGGGGGTTCAGGTGAGATAACATTCTCTTTCAGTTCCCAATTTTCCCTTTTGATGGTGATGCCATCCAAGATGACTCATGCATAATGCTCATCTGTTCGAGTCAGCGGGTTTTTGATGTCATCAAATGAGATGTCTTTGTTGTTAATTTCATCTAGAAGTTCCAGGGATTCCTTAGAATATGGGAGGTTTGGCAACACTTCTTCTATTATATGTAATAGGTCAGTGCATCTCTGTGCATTCTTGTCTCATACTGAAATCGCATACCTTTTTTGCAACATGCTTGAGCCTTGGCATGTGCCCATGCATTAGGGAGCATAGGCTTTTGCACTTTTTTTGGTGCCGAAAGCTTGAAGATAACTTGCTTTCATATTTGGCTCACTGAATAGCGAGAGCCATGCCCAACAAACTCCTGGGCAATGGCATTGACCTGTGCATCAAGACTCTTCCTAAGCTCCAGAATTTGTTTGTTGAACAATGTCCACACTAATTCCATTCTCTGGTTCTTTGATAGAGTCGAGGACACAACAAGTGGGCCTGTGGCATCTGCTGGGATATCTCATAATGAATCTCATAATGATCTATATATAATATCTATATCTATATATCTATATATAATCTATCTATCTATCTATATATAATAAAGTCAGGTTGAATATATTGTTCTATTCAGTTTTTGAATGGGTCAATTCAGTTTAATTAACGTAAGCAATGCAGTTCTCTGAGCCGTGGGACCTGTTTCAATGTTAACAATTGTACTAGATGACCTATCTTGGTGTAATAATAAAAGATGGAGGGGACGTTTGAGCGATTCCAGTGCAAAAGACCCCATGAAAAACGGTTGAAAACTGAGGGAGATACGAGTGGTGGCCCATTCCAGCGCGAAATGTGTGCGTGGGAAACAGTGACCACGCCTCATACAGGCTGTTTGACGACGCGTGCCAATAATATTAGATGAGGGGATCGTTAATAGAAGCTCATTAAAAAGAACCCGACGAAAAACGAATGAGATTTGACAGAGATATGCATGTACATGTCTTTTGTGTGTGAAAAAATGTGAAAATCCGTCTTACTGCCTCATAGACCCTCATTCGCGATTGACGCCAATAATATAAGATAATAAGGGCATTGTTATAAGTATGTACGGAAAGAAACGGTGAAAAACGAATGATAATTGACAGAGATACGAATGTATATACTTATTTTTGTGAAAAATTGTGAAAAACCGTTCCACTGCCTCATGAACGCTTATTCGCGACTTGCATCAATGATAGAAAATGGCCAGGGGGTTAGTACGGGCCCATTGAAAGAAACCCGACGAAAAACAAATCAAAATTGAGAGAGATACTAATGTACATGCTTTATTTGTGGAAAGATCGTGCTACTTCCTCATACACGCTGATTCACGACATGCACTAACAATACCAAATGTAGAGAAAGTTAATCCGGGACCATTAAAAAAAACCCGACGGAAAACGGTCAAGAACTGAGGGAGATACCAATCCAGTGTCAGCTCCACGGCTGATCTGTGCGTGGGAAACGGTCCCCAGCACCCTACAGATGTTTTAAAAATATGAAAAAATATTAGGTACCTGCGTTAATACTATATAAAATGGTTCGCAAAATTTCAGGACATTTGGTGCTGTAGCAAGCGAGATATGATAAATTATTCCATTAAATTTTACTTGGCACCCTCAAGATCGCAGAATATCAAGTTGAAGTAATAATACACATTATAGAGGGAGTTAATACGCGCCCGTTGAAAAAAACCCGAAGAGAAACGAACAGGAACTGACAGAGATACCAATCCAGTGTCAGCTCCGCGCTTGATCTGTGCGTGGGAAACGTTCTCCAGCACCTCATAGATGTCTTAAGAATATGTAAAAATGTTGGGTACTTGCGTTAACGCTATATAAAATAGTACGCAAAATTACAGGTCATTTGGTTCAGTATCAAGCAAGATATAATAGGTTTTGTCATTAATCTTCACTTGGACCCCTCAAATCGCGCAATAATGAGCCAGGGCAATAATAGTAAATGTAGAGGGCAATAATACGCGCCTGTTGAAACAAACCCGAAGAGAAACGAATAGGAACTGACAGAGATACGAATGTAGTGTCCGCTCCGCGCATGGTCTGTGCGTGGGAAACGTCTTCCAGTGCCTCATGGATGTCAAAGAAAAATATGAAAAAATGTTAAAAACTTGCGTTGATAATATATGAATTAGTGCGCAAATTTATAAAACATTTGGTCAAGTATCAAGCGAGATATAATAGATTACTATACAGTTTGTGCATGGGGAATGCGATAAATCGCCATAATCTCCTCAGGATCGCCGAACGACGAGTCGGACTAATAATACAACATGTAGAGGACATTAAGACGCGCCCATTGAAAAAAACCCGACGAGAAACGGATGAGAACTGACAGAGATATGATAGATTTATGTAAAGAATCACGTGTATATGTTTAGTTTGAGGAAATTCACGTGAGCAATTGAGCGTAACCTCCCACAACTTTTTTCGCGCACAGACATATGCGAAAAAGTACTAATACCCCCACTCAAAACCGGTTCAAACCCCCCATGGGAGCAATTCTTTTTTGTTCCCATGTGACTTTGGCATGTAAAATGGATAAAATAGATAGATAAATAGATAAAATAGGTAAATAAATAGGTCATAATAGTCGTAAATAATAATAATAATAATAATCATAATAATAATAGTAGTAAATAGTGAATAAATAAATAATTAATTAATTATAGTAATAGTAGTATTTAGTTATTGTTTTTTGTCGAAAATTGGCATGTACAATAAATGGTAGTATTGTTTTTTTTTCTTTGTATTTTCGCTATTAGCATGTAAAATAGATAAATAAATAGGAAGTAAGTAAGTTAGAATCCGGAGTTTCCAACAACAGAGCCAAATGAACTAAGGTTCCAGATAAGGTAAAAATTCGAAAAAATTCACGGCAACATGGAACAACATGAAATAGAAACATCCAAAAATAAAACCAAGGTATTCTAGATAGAATAAAATCTGAAAAAATTGCGGCAATGGGGGAAAACCAAGAAAAATAATACCAAGGTATTCTATGCAAATTAAAATCCAGAAAATTCACAGCAACATGGGACAGTATAGAATAAAAATAAAAGTAAGGTGCTCTCTATAAAATAAAATCAAGAAAATTCACAGCAACATGGGGAACACTGTTTTATAAACTCACAAGGAATTTCATGTGATGGGGAGTGGTTGGGGTGGTGGGTTTGGAGAAATGGCCAGAAAATGAAGAAAAACAACAAATAAAAGGGCCTCACTCCCAGTGCATTGCCAAGAGGGGGGAAAGGCTTTTCTCATTCCTGTGCATGATTGATAGAGCGGGGTTTGGGGCGCAGCCCCAAGGCCCTCCGCAGGAGCAGGGGTTCAAGGGGCTGGCCCCTTGGTGTAAAAAATAATCAAATATATCCAGGGGGGTTTGGGGCGCAGCCCCAGGCTCTCCGCAGGAGTGGGGCTTGGGGCAACACCCCAATAGCTCTCCGCAGGAGCAGGGGTTCAAGGGGCTGGCCCCTTGGTGCATAAATAATCACCATATATCTCATTCTTTCTTTAGCACATGGGGAACAATAATAACAAGGATGTCGTTGCATGGGGCGGAGCCCCAATGGGGTCTGGGGCAATGCCCCAGGGGGGTTCGGGGCGCAGCCCCGATGCCCTCCGCAGGAGCTAGAGTCCGAAGAACGCGTGGGTGTGCGAGGAACGAGCACCCCACGGGTTTAAGGTCTCTAGTCTATAATGAACTGAGGTTGAATGTATGGTGTTATTCAGTTTTTGTATTGTCCTATTCAGTTTAATTAACGTAAGCAATGCAGTTCTCTGAGCCGTGGGAGCTGTGTCAATGTTAACGATTGTACTAGATGACCTATCTTGGTGTAATAATAAAAGATGGAGAGGACGTTTGAGCGATTCCATTGCAAAAGACCCCATGAAAAACGGTTGAGAATTGAGGGAGATACGAGTGGTGGCCCATCCCAGCGAGTAAACCTAACTACACCACCCGGTCAGTGAAGCGGGAGGTCATGTGAGTGAAAAAAAAATAGGATTAATTTAGAAAATTAATTCTGCAATCTGATTCCAGATTTCTATATTTGGAATATTAAAGTGCTATCTACAAATCAAGTGCGGTGACTTTGTCATTGATGCATTAGCCTGATGGCTAATGCCGGCGTGGGTTTATGTTGTTTAGCTGTCAGGCTCCGGTTCGATTCATGGGTGGGTCTGACTTTTTTTTTTTCCGGGTTGTCGGGTTGGGGGTTTGGGTCAGGGGGTTTGGGTCAGGGGGTTGTGGTTAGGGGTTGGGGATTTGGGTTGGGGGTTGGGTTTTTGGGTCGGGGGTTGGGGATTTGGGGTTGGTGGTTGTGTATTGGGTATGTGTCTATTTTTAATGTAAAGGGGGGTTGGGTGTCGGGTCGGGGGTTGAGAGTTTAGTCGGGGGTTTGGGTGGTGGGTATGTGTCTATTTTTTGGGTTGGATGGCGGTGCAATACTTGATTTGTAATAGTGACCGTTGGCTGGTTTCGAAATGAATTGCTATCCATTTTTTTTTCTGGCACATGACCTCCCGCTTCACTCACCGGGTGGTGTAGTTAGGTTTACTATCCCAGCGCGAGCTGTGTGCGTGGGAAACAGTGTCCACGGCTTCATACAGGCTGTTTGACGATGCACGCTAATAATATTAAATAAGGAGGCTGTTTATACAAGCTCATTGAAAAAAACCCGACGAAAAACGAATGAGATTTGACAGGGATATGCATGTAAATGTCTTTTGTGTGTGAAAAAATGTGAAAAAACGTTCCACCGCCTCATAGACCCTCATTTGAGATGTACGACAATAATATAAAATAATGAGGACGTTAATACAAGCATGTACAAAAAGAAACGACCAAAAACGAATGATAATTGACAGAGATACGCATGAACATGCCTTTTATGTGTAAAAAAATGTAAAAACACGTCCTACTGCCTCATAAGCGCTTGCTCGCTCCTTGCACCAATAATATAAGATAACCAGGGGGTTGGCACGGGCCCATTAAAAGAAACCCGACGAAAAACGAATCAGAATTGACAGAGAAACTAATGTACATGCTTTATTTGTGGAAAAAACGTTCCCCCTCCTCATTCACGCTGATTAACGACTTTTACCAACAATAACAAATGGAGGTGGAGGTGGTACGGGCCCATTAGAAAAACCCGACGGAAAACGGTCAAGAACTGAGGGAGATACCAATCCTGTGTCAGCTCCGCGGCTGATCTGTGCGTGGGAA